TTTTTATAATGTTTATTGAAATCGGTATCAAATAAGAAGCAAAAGATTTATGAAAAATCGCTGTTGTATAATAATAAAAAGATTAATATTGAAGATCGGCAAAAAACGGGAAACCTGTCGGAATAGGCGATGGATTACCGGAATCGACCTGTAATTTGGTTATTTGTGAACTTTTTAAATATTTCTTTTGCATGTTTTTATAAGATATAAATATTTTCAACGATATTCATTTTTGTAAGTAAATTTGCTTTTGATTAATAAAACAAGAGACCTAAGATCGAATGACTGTCATACTGCCGATATAGGAGAAGGATGGGCGGGATCAGCCTGTATACTATAGTTATTTTTATGTTATTTTATTAAATGCAAATAATATCATTGATATAAAAAGATTTTTTGAGAAATAAAGGTCACTTCTTATTATAAACTGGATGTCTAAGATAGACTAATTACTATCATAGTGCCTGAATTAACAGGGAAATACCGGAATTAGTCTGTTATTTTGTTAAATTTCAGCGTTTTAAAAATATCTTGCCATATTTTATTAAATACAAACAATTCAAATGATATTTAATAATATTTATTGTAATCGCTATTACATAATAAACGAGGTGATCTATGATTTCTTCCATACTACCGAATCGACGAGCGATTATCGGAATCGGCTTCACTTCGTCTAGGATTACTGGAATCGGTTCTAATTTTGTTATGAATGTGAACTCAATATTATTATTATCATTTATTTTTGCATGTATTTACAAACATTATCATTGATCTATTATGGAATAATGCAATATCGTCTTTACATTATATTTTTTTCAGGACATTGCTAACAGAGGATTGTTTGAAATGACGGATAACAATAGGTCAGTTTAGTCTTTCTTTATGTTTGCATAACTCAATTCTTGATTTCATAAAGTAGTCGATTTATAATTACATGCAATAATTTTTATTTGAATCTTTATTTAAACAATACAAACCTCATAAAATATTCACATGAAATCAATGTTTTACCAGGCAGTTAAATCGTACTTACTTGACAGTTCAAGGTCATTCTGGAGTATCAAATCAATTGTCGTCATTTGCGTTATTGGTGCACCATAAAAATATTACAAAGATTGCAAATAAGTCAATCGTTGAAACATAGATTCTTTAGTCTTAAATAGTAAACAAATCATATATACCCGTAACGTATAAAACAGTGAGATATGGATGTTAACTATATACGCACAGATGATACTGTCACTTTATTGGAAGTAAACGAGCTGTATATCGGGAGCTGTGTATTGGGAAGTGTGATATACTACAAAACAGTGGGGTGCCAATATACGGTATGCTGATATATTTCATAGTGGGAGGGTCTGTCTGTTAGAGAAAGCGTGTTGTTAAGCAAGCTGTAGCTGGAATCGGGGAATGATTACCGGAATCGGCCTGTAATTTTGTTATTTATGAACTTTAAAAAAAAATCTTGCATCTTTTATAAAATATAAACAATATTAATGACAATAAAAATCGCTTAAGATTAATTAAGCAACATACTTAAGATCAGCTAGTTACTGTCATCTGGGACATACGATATATCGTATGGCCCAGCTGTCATACTGCTGGAATCGGGGAATTATTACCAGCATCGGCAAGTAATTTTATTCATGAACTTTTTAAGAATTGACATGTACAAAGATTTTTATAAACAAAATCACGCTTTATTAATTAAACTAGATAAGCAAGTTACTGTCATACTGTCGGAAGGATTGTTATTCGGGTAGTTTGGCAGTAGCTCGCCGATATTAGATCTCTTGTTAAATTAATCAAAAGCGATTTTATTTACATTTTTTTTTACATTGATATTGTATAAAGATGCAAGAACCTTTTTTTTAATCTTTATTAATAACCAAATTATACGCCGATTTCGGTAATCCTTCGCCGATTCCGACAGTATGGCAGTAACTCGCCGATATTAAATATCTTGTTTAATTAATCATTTATCAATGAGATTTTATTTACAAAAATCTGATTACATATCATTGATATTGTTTATATTTAATCAAAGATGAAAAAATATATATACATCACATTATTTAACTATTGTGTGTTTATTTGGGATGTTCGCGGAAAATGTCATTATTAATTCAGTGTCATAAGTAACTACATGTATATATCATAGTCCTTTACTTAAAGGATCTTCTTCCATTTTTAATTAATAATTAAATGGGTCAAACGGTTAGAAATTATGCTAAACTTTGAAAAGAATCTTAAGATCTATACAGGGTGTTTATATTGTTGTTTAGTTTTTACATTGACTAAATCTTAAGTCTTTAAAAATTATGAAGTTCAATAAATCCTATGACTTAATTCATCGATCTACAGCTTGCTTAACAACAGGCATTCTCTAACAGATAGTCTCTCCCACTATGAAATATTTCAGCATACCGTATATTGGCACCCCACTGTTTTGTAGTATATCACACTTCCCAATACACAGCTCCCAATATACAGCTCGTTTACTTCCAATAAAGTGACAGTATCATCTGTGCGTGTATAGTTAACATCCATATCTCACTGTTTTATACGTTACGGGTATATATGATTTGTTTACTATTTAAGACTAAAGAATCTATGTTTCAACGATTGACTTATTTGCAATCTTTGTAATATTTTTATGGTGCACCAATAACGCAAATGACGACAATTGATTTGATACTCCAGAATGACCTTGAACTGTCAAGTAAGTTGGATTTAACTGCCTGGTAAAACATTGATTTCATGTGAATATTTCATGAGGTTTGTATTGTTTAAATAAAGATTCAAATAAAAATTATTGCATGTAATTATAAATCGACTACTTTATGAAATCAAGAATTGAGTTGTGCAAACATAAAGAAAGACTAAACTGACCTATTGTTATCCGTCATTTCAAACAATCCTCTGTTAGCAATGTCCTGAAAAAATATAATGTAAAGACGATATTGCATTATTCCATAAAAGATCAATGATAATGTTTGTAAATACATGCAAAAATAAATGATAATAATAATATTGAGTTCACATTCATAACAAAATTAGAACCGATTCCAGTAATCCTAGACGAAGTGAAGCCGATTCCGGTAATCGCTCGTCGATTCGGTGGTATGGAAGAAATCATAGATCACCTTGTTTATTATGTAATAGCGATTACAATAAATATTATTAGATATCATTTGAATTGTTTGTATTTAATAAAGTATGGCAAGATATTTTTAAAACGCTGAAATATAACAAAATAACAGACTAATTCCTGTATTTACCTGTTAATTCAGGCACTGTGATAGTAATTAGTCTATCTTAGATATCTAGTTTATAGTAAAAAGGTGATCTTTATTTCTCAAAAGAATCTTCGTATATCAATGATATTATTTTCTTCAATAAAATAACATAAAAATAACTATATTACAGGCTGATCCCGCCCATCCTTCCCCTATATCGGCAGAATTACAGTAATTCGCCGATCTTAGGTCTCTAGTTTTATTAATCAAAAGCAAATTTACTTACAAAAATGAATATCGTTGAAAATGTTTATATCTTATATAAAACATTCAAAAGAAATATTCAAAAAGTTCACAAATAACCAAATTACAGGTCGATTCCGGTAATCTATCGCCTATTCCGACAGGTTTCCCGTTTTTTGCCGATCTTCAATATTAATCTTTTTATTATTTATAACAGCAATTTTTCATAAATCTTTTGCTTCTTTTCAATAAACATTATAAAAATCTTTTAAATTGTTTGTATTTAATAAAATAAGTCAAGGTTATTTTTCAAACGTTGAAATATTGGTGGGGAAAAACAGACCCGATTCCGGTAATTGTCCGATAGCCCTGGCACTGCATATAATTATGCGATATGGCAGTAATTCGCCGACCTTAGGTCTCTAGCTTATTAATTAATAAGGATTCTTCATTTACAGAAATCTTTTTAGATATATATTATATATTGTTTGCATTTTTTTCTTGCAAAGTCCATAAATTACAATAATACAGGCCGATTCCGGTAATCATTCGCCTATTTCGGCTGTATGACAGTAGGGTATGTAACTCGCCGATCTTCGATCTCTTGCTTTATTAACCAAAGGCGAATTGAAATTTACAAAATAAAAGAAAGAAAGAAACTTTTAAATATCTTTCATAATATTTATATTTTATAAGATGAATATTAACAATGCAACAAAAACGTTAAAAAGTACAATAGACTAAATTATACGTCGATTCCGGTAATCCTTCGCCGATTCCGACAGTATGGCAGTAACTCGCCGATATTAAATATCTTATTTAATTAATAAAAAGTGGTTTTATTGACAATACTCTGATTACATATCATTGCTATTGTTTATTTATAATCAAGGGTGCAAACATTTTGTTTAAAGTATATAGATAAGCAAATTACAGGCCGATTTCGGTAATCCTTTGCCGATTCCGGCAGTTTGCCCGTTTTCGCTGATCATAAATATTTGTTTATTATTATCATTATTTAAAAGCGATTTTTTCACAATATCTAGGAAGATTAATGATAATATTTAGGTTTTATAAAAACATGCAAAAGGAACATTAAAAGTTGCATAAACAACGAAATAACAGGCCGATTCCGGTCACGGGTAGTTTGGCAGTAGCTCGCCGATATTAGATCTCTTGTTAAATTAATCAAAAGCGATTTTATTTATAAAAATCTTTTCATAAATCATTGATATTGTTTATATCTTATAAAATTGCAAGAAAAAAACTTAAAAAGTTTAATTATTACAAAGTTACAGGTCGATTCCGGTAATTCACCGCCGATTCCGGTCGATTCCGGTAATTCGGCCGATTCCGGTAAGTCGTGTAACCCGTCTATACATGCTGCACAAGGAATATCATTATGATTGATGTATATCATATATGTATGTATCTTTACTTGCATGGACAATATTAATTTGTATATTTAATACCGTAACATAAGTAATAACTTTATACATTACTGTTCTATTTCAGTTCAAGATATAGTGGCAATCCTGATTAGTTTTGAGAAAGGGAAGAAACTGGTGGACATGCTAAAATCTCACAATGTTAACATCACGATAACACACATGCCAAAGAAAGACGACCCTCCAGATAGTCCTGGACAATTGAACAACACGTCCGTCTTGTTCGTTTCAATATCTTTCATCGTTCTCATTATAATATCACTGGCGTGGCTCGTGTTTTATTACATACAGAGATGTCGCTACACAAATGCCAAAGAAAGACTGAGTGTAAGTTCTTGCCTTATAAATAGAGATAGGGATACTTTTCCGGAACTCTGCAAATGTGTTTTTTCCCCATCTTATCCTGGGTTCATGCAAACAGTTACCTATAAATTATACAACTTAGTAAATATATTGATAAGAGCAATGCATTGCATAATTTGGGAATGGTACTGCACTGTGAAGTTTTAACTGTAAAAGTTTATTTATACCCTCTAGTATAAGATGGGGGAAAATCCACATTTTCATAGTTCCAGATGACATCTTTTTACATTTGTTGAAAAGATTGGTATGCTATACAATGTAAATAAATTATTTTGAATTTTTTAAACAGTTTGCTTGAATCAGGGGAAGTTAGTATGTCATTAATATGAATTCAATATATTTAAGAAAAAATTGTAAGTTGTTTTAACATCAGCTGCAGGTAAAGGTTGTGCTGTAATCATAATAAAAAGTTCTAAAGAATTACAAAGCCATTCCCTATACATGCAAAACTTCTAGTTCAACTTCAATCAAAGACTAATGATCACTTTCGATTCCAGAGCAGATTATGGTTTAAATACAGGTCTAGTTAGTTACAAGAGTTAAGAGCCTGTACAGATATGATTTATTTATTGTCACAACACTTGTCAATTACTAAACAAACATTGATATGAATATCCATCAAAACATTTCTCATGGCACTGATTAAAACATGATATGGAAACAAGTTTCATTTACGACTTTGTCTGCTATGAGATTGAGAATGCTCTGTGATAGTTCTCTGATAGAATACAAATCAAAATAATTTCACTTGGAAGGTCTACATTTGTAGTTGCAAATTGTTATGTGGATTCTATTGGAGACTTGGGGTATATCAAGCTCAGATTTACTTGTTATAAATAAAAGCAACAGAGGTCTTGTTGTAGAGTTTTGGCCTTATAATTTAGAGGTCACTGGGGGTCAGTGACATCATCTGGCTTACACAAAGGACCAAAGTATACGCTTATGGCCTCTATGCTCTGTGGTGAGCAGTATGGGGATAGTTCTTAGTAAATTCACTGCGGTATAACTTTGACTTGATTTTTGTGGGCATCCATGGCTAAGTGGGTAATGTTGTTGGCTTCATGCCACTTGATTCTTAGCATTGTGGGTTCTAATCCCGGTTCTTATCCCGCTTGGATTCTTTCATGTGAGGAAGCTATCATGCTAGCCTATGGAATGTCAGTGGTTCAACTCTGGCGCCAGTTTATAATTCCATAATATTTAATGATAATTTTTGTTTTTCCTTGACTATATATGTATGTCCAATATTTAAATTTTAATTAGTTGAGAATGCTGTCTGCTCAGACAGCTAGTGTTTTTTGTTACATCAAAAATGATATAAAAACTCCTTTGTCTGGCCGTCTGGACGATAGGGAAGTAGGTAGACTACAATTATGTATAAGTGGCAATACAAATGTACTTTAATTCATGTCTTTTATTGGCAGTTTATTTCATTTAATGAGTGGTTGGCTTTAAGTGGGCATTCTTAAGCCACATACATTTTCTCATACTTTTTCTTTGTTTGCTTTAAGATGTCCTTTAATCACTCATTAAGATATTGTTCTATTTTCTCCAAATTGAAGCATTCTTTGTAGCAGAAAAATCCCCGTATACAAGAATTTTTTCCCCTTACAAGTACACTTGTATATAAATAAATATACATTGGATGCCATCAGGGGATAATTGAGTGTAATGAATAATCTCATACATGTATGTGTATGTTCACAATATTGTACAATTATTGTTTTTCTTGCATGAGTTACATTTGCAGTGTTGATTTGGAAAGTTTAAAAGTCCAAATTTAAGTTACACCAATAAAGAAAGCAAAAAGATGAATTAAGGAAGTTGAAATAAAGTAACAGAAGAATGAAAGGTATATTTCATTTTATGGGAAATGTGTTTCCCACTTAAATTCAAATCCTGACCATATGGTGTAGGGGAAGTGCCTATCTATTTATCTGTTTGCCCTCCATCATACCATGGCCAAGTAGTTAAGGAAGTTGACTTCAACCACTTGCCCTTTACCACTGTTGGTTTTGAATCCAGAGTTCTATCATATGAGAAAGCTATCCAGGTAGCTTACGGAACATTGGTGGTTTACTCAGGCACGTTTTCATGCCTGAAATAATGCACAGAAGGGCACCTGAAGTCTTCCTCCAGTAAAGCTGGAAATTTGCAATATGACCTATACTGTGTTGGTGCGAAATAAAAACCCAACCACAAAAAAAAAGGAAAAGAAAATTCATCATACCATGTAAATATGATGGTAAATGAAAGGAGTAGAGACCAAGTGGCTTCATACAGGATGAGGTTGTTAATTATAATAAGTAACTTCATTAAATCATTTCCTTTATATGATCATGTAACGTCATGTATTAACAAAATAACATGTTATTTTGAAAGTATACAATCTTAAAAGGACACGCAATACCTGTCTGTGCAGTATATAATAAGCCGTGGACATTTCTATTTATAGACTCATATAACATCACGATATTAATAGATCACTTTATAGTAAACATGTTTACAATTTCATTGCAGTCAGTCGATATCAAATATTTTGAAAAAGAAAATTCTGAAAATCGGTTATTTGTAAACCATATGTGGCGGAGATGAATTTGGCAGGTGTGACCTCCGTATTATTTACTGTGATATAAACTTTGTCACATGATCATCAAGAATATCAGTGTTGCAGGTGTCTACCAACTGACAACAAATCAAAGTCAAGTAGTACATGTAGTTCAGCATCACTCTAATGTGTGCAGTTGGTTTAAACATATTTATTTAAGCTTGATTGCGAAAAACAAAGTTCTTGCAACTTATATAAATCACTTTCGAGTCCTCTTTCTGGAAGCAACCAGTACTGTTGTCATATGACAAAATATGGTTGTGACCCAATTAGGGCTCGGACCCATGATCCATGATAAGAGGCAGACACCTTAACAACTAGGTCACGCTCCCCTTGTGTGCAGTTAAGAGGTGGTTTGGAATTTGCGTGTTCGATTCCAAGTCAATCATACTAAAGGGTAAAGGTCATTAATGAAATGGCACAAGTGGCATACATTATAATAATAAGAAAACTGTTTGAAATTCTGTTAGTTTTTAATTTTCAGGGGGAAAAATCAAGAAATAATTGTTCGTACATTAGGATAAAATCCATTGTAGAATGTTGTGCTGTATCGGTATTTTTCTCTCTTTTTTCAGAGACGTTTAGCAAATGCAGCCAAGAAAGCTATTGCCAAAATTCCACAGAGAACAATCAAAGCTGGAGACAAGGTCAGTGTTACAAATAGAAAGTTTGAATTTTTTTTAAATGGTTCAAACCCTCATTCCCCCCTGCATTGAGAGGCACACATCTTAACCTTTATTGTTAAACAATGCTGTCAGTATACCCTACACCTCTTGGAATTATTAACTTGAAATTTACAAGTGGTAATATTTAATTACTTAAGGAGAAAAAGAAAGTGCCTAAGAGCCATAATGTTCTTTTGCATAATTCTGGTGATGTTGCTATTTGTATTCTTTCAATACTTAATTTTTGTCCAGATGAGCATCTCACCTCGGACAGTACCAGTTCTAGTTTAATTGCTCAGCACATGTTACAAGTGTTGACTAAGAAGTTGAACGCATGATTATTATAGTTTTACCTATATTTTGTGCTAAATAAATGTTATATTCTACAGGAGCTTGAAGCCGAGGCTGATCAGTGTGCTGTATGTATAGAGCCTTACAAATGGAATGATGTCATACGTGTACTGCCATGCAAGTACGTATATCTCTTGATTATTATAATTTAGTTTCTCAAGGTGTCTCTGATTGTTATATAGTTTAGTTGAAACATATTTAATGTAGCTCACTCAGATGTGTTGAAAGTTTGAAGCTGATTTGTACCACTCCTAAAGTCAACATCCTGGAACTTTTAACCAGAACTTCTGTCATATTATGTGTTTAACGATTAATTGTTGTGACTCTAAAAAAGGGTTTCGAACAACAATCCCAGGTTCAAGAAGCAAACATATTAAACTTTAGGCAAGGACATGTTTTGCCTTCGCTAAAACTGTGTGGAGAAAAGGTATTTTTATATAGCATTGAGTTTGGAGTATGATTAAGTCCAATATACAGTGAACCATGCATTTTCACAATTTGCTATCAGTACCTTGTACAGTCTGACATATTGACAGTTAAACAATCAATCAATAAAACTTAAAAGGAGAGTGCATACAAATTTGGTTTCAACATTTACTTGTACTTCCTATCAGTAACTGTTATAGAATATTTATTGCTTTAAACAGTTTGCCATGCTTCTCCGATGTAGGTACAATATGAATGTAATGTCAAAATATTTACTATGTGATAAACCGACAGAGCAATTAAGATAACAATACAAAGTTCATTGAACTCTTATTATGCTGTTGGAAAACTACTTACGAGTTTAAAAACTAGTCTGTAAATTCTGATTATTTTATCAGGCAATAATTTGGTTTACATCTTTCAGTATTGAATGCTCAAATAACTATATTTAGAGACACAAAAAAATATAACAACATAAAAACAAATTCAGGTTCATACTATTTCAAATACCCAGCAACAGGACTTAAAATAGGACTTTGTCCTTTCAGAAATATGCATGACTTAAACACTTCAGGCACTTAAAGCTTTCGTCAAACACAACAGCTGAATGCATATACTATGATATATATACTATAATTTACTTACTACGCAGTAAGATAACATTTACTATCTTTACGAGACAGTGCATGATGCACTCACATATCTACGTTTGTTGATTTTGTCCGATCAATTCGGTGTGATCCAAAATTTTCTGATTTATGGCAGTTTTTATCAGTGGGTGAAGGAAATTTTTACTATTTTTATCATTACTTCAAAGTAATTATTTGATTAATCATCTTATTTACATAAAATTTCCACAGGATATTGCCTCCATAAGACATATTTATGTCTCTATTGAATAACATGTATTCAATAGAGACATAATCTTTAAAATTAAAATTTTCCAAATTCAAAGATGGAAAAGTGCATAACATGAAAAAAATTGTTACTGTGTAAAATCATTAAATGCTTTTTACAAAAGCCCTACCCTGTATTAACTAAGATCATGGAAAAGAATGTTAAAAACCTTCAATTAAACACAATGCTTGTTATATTGCGGTTTTCAAGGTCATTATACAAATAAGGAAGTTAATTTTCATGTCATTATTATTTATTTTGTGATTCGGAAATTAGAAGTTGACATATGTCACATAATGGTTTTCCTCAATTAATAGTTATGTCTCCCCCACCTCGGGGGGAGACATATTGTTTTTGCCCTGTCCGTCCGTCCGTCAGTCCGTCCGTCCGTCAGTCCGTCCGTCAGTCCGTCAGTCCGTCCGTCCGTCCATTCTTCGTTTCCGGACGATAACTAGAGTTCCTTTTGACCTACAGCCCTCAAACTTCATAGGATGATTGGTCTTATAGAGCTGATGATCCCTATTGTTTTTGGGGTCAGTAGGTCAAAGGTCAAGGTCACAGTGACCGTTGGTCAATTTCTCGTTTCCGGATGATAACTAGAGTTCCTTTTGACCTACAGCCCTCAAACTTCATAGGATGATTGGTCTTATAGAGCAGATGATCCCTATTGTTTTTGGGGTCAGTAGGTCAAAGGTCAAGGTCACAGTGACCGTTGGTCAATTTCTCGTTTCCGGATGATAACTAGAGTTCCTTTTGACCTACAGCCCTCAAACTTCAATAGGATGATTGGTCTTATAGAGCTGATGATCCCTATTGTTTTTTGGGGTCAGTAGGTCAAAGGTCAAGGTCACACTGACCATTGGTCAATTTCTCGTTTCCGGATGATAACTAGAGTTCCTTTAGACCTACAGACCTCAAACTTCATAGGATGATTGGGCTTATTGAGCAGATGATCCCTATTGTTTTTGGGGGTCAGTAGTTCAAAGGTCAAGGTCACAGTGACCGTTGGTCAATTTCTCGTTTCCGGATGATAACTAGAGTTCCTTTTGACCTACAGCCCTAAACTTCATAGGATGATTGGTCTTATAGAGCAGATGATCCCTATTGTTTTTGGGTCAGTAGGTCAAAGGTCAAGGTCCACAGTGCAGTGGGGGAGACATGCGCTTTTTTACAAAAGCATCCTCTAGTTTTAATACTCGTTCACGCCATGTAACTGTTGCATGATTAATCATTTACGTTTCTCTGTAACACATATTTTAATGTACCAGTCTGTGTAACGAAGGTATGTGATTCTGCTGGTTTAATTGATGAAATAAAAAAAATAAAAAGATATTTTTAGGATGTAAGTTAATTAAGTGAAATGATTTATCACGCAGACATCTTCATTCATCATGCACTTCCTGCCAAATAGAAAATGAGAGAATATGAATATAAATTGAGCCGTGTCATGACAAAACCAACATATTGGGTGTGCGACCAGCATGGATCCAGACCAGCCTGCGCAGTCTGATCAGGATCCATGCTGTTAGCTTACAAACCCTATAACAAGTAGTGAAACTGATAGCGAACAGCATGGATCCTGATCAGACTGCGCGGATGCGCAGGCTGGTCTGGATCCATGCTGGTCGCAAACCCATTATGTTGGTTTTGTCGTGACGCGGCTCAATTATATACTGTATACCACGGCTTTTGTAATGAGACTATTTTTAAAGTATTTAAAATGATTGGTTTTCCAAAATATTCTGTCTAATGGCTTATTTTGTTCTTGTTTTGTATAGTGATAATTCTAGACCTGAAAAAGGGGCAGGGGTCAAAAAAATGGGAGGGAAATGTTAGTTAAAAGGCAAAATACTGCACAGTAAATGCGCCATTGTTAGATTTGGTGAATTTTTTTTTTTTTTAACACTTAACATTAACTTTCATGTTTGTATTTCATGATTTATCTCCCTTGTTTTTACAATATGTGTAACCAGAATAACTAAAGTAAAGTGGTGCATACTGTTTCTTACTGGGCATCATGTGTATTCATATAATATGCATGTTAGATTTCTGCAGGGTTGTCATTATGAAGGAACTGGAGGCCATAACGATGGTCTGAAATATATTTGGGCCACTTCAAATCTTATAAAATACTCTTTGTTTTATCTAATAAAAAACAAAATGACTGCCTCAAATTAATAATTTTGGATTGTCTCAGAAATATTTTTATGACAACTCTGATTTTCTATCAATCTTATTTAGCTTTTTGTACATTTTGAAATCTAACTGAAAATAGAATCATATTCAAAAAATTTTGTGACCGGAAAAGAGCCAATCAATAGGTTGTAAGTCAAATCCCTTAGTCTATTCATTTGGCTACTAGTCTTCCCTTGACTTTTGATGTCACAATTATTTTTTTTCCTCATATATAACACCAATACTGTTGAGTTCAAGGAAATAAACTCGAGAATGATGAATATAAGTTGCAAACACCTCATCACCTGTTTCACAATCTACAATCTATTTTGATAACAAATTTTTTTGTAATGAAATGGAAAGAATGTGACTGTCTAAATTTTGCTGACTCGGGTTAATGATGTTAAAACAATATGTCCTAAGTGCAAAAGAACTTTAAGCGAAGAAGAAAAAAGAATTGTTTTCTGGGAAATTGTTGTGTTAATTGGTTCATTTCCAAGAAAAAACATTGTATCAATTCTTCTAATTAAGCGACTGACAAGGCATAACTAGGTAATTAGACATTAATTGACTTGTTGTGGTCTGTAATAATTACATGTATCCGGCAAAGCAGAACATCAGCAAGTCTGACATAATGTGGATCAGTGTAAATTATGTATGTTAATGATACCTGTTGTGTAAATTTGTCATGCCTGAACATTAACTACATTGTATATGGTATACAAGTAATAATTTCCTTTGTGTTTAGTGGACCTGAATAAACAATTGGCTTTGTACTGCACAGAGTTCTTAACCAGTATAAGTTTAGTTACAGTAATAATTGATATGTCAAAGTCTGTTTAAGTAATAAATTGATATGTCAATTCCTGTTTAAGTAAGTATTAGAAATGTCATAACCTGCTTACTTCATATGGCTCTGCAGCGACCTTATTTGAGGAGGTAAATAACTAATTGTGCCTTTAAATTAAAATATGCTTATAGGTATATCTTTGGTCTTTTTCAACCAGTAATGCCAAGAAAGTGTCAAATGATAGAAAATTAGAAATTAAGAATTGTAAGGATCAGATGCTGGACTGAAATTATTAAAAATTTTGATCGTTGATAACTTTAAATCTGGAAGATTACTTTTGGTTGTTGTGTCAAAACATTTTGAATAATAAAGTGGCATGGTATGAGTAACATGGTATGCATGGCCTCTCAAAGTGCTAGTTTCCCCCAGAAATGTCAAGATTCTATTATTCTATAAATTTATTCTATAAATAGCAACTGGTTTTTAGCTCGACTATACGAAGTATATGGAGAGCTGTCCTACTCGCCCCGGCGTCGGCGTCCGCGTCCAGATTTTAGATTAAAGTTTTGGTGCAGTAAAATATTTTTCACTATAACTTTGTCATTTCTTAAGGTATCAACTTCAAACTTCAAATATATGTTCCTTATCATCAACCACATCATATGTGACAAGGTTCATAACTCTAGCACCAATATTTTCAGATTTATCTCCCCTTGAACTTAGAATTTTCCTTAAAAAATACTATTTTTTACTGTTACTTCCTTATTTCTTAAGGATCAACCTCATACTTCAAATATATGTACCTTATCATCATCCCCATCTTATGTGACAAGGTTCATAACTCTAGCACCAATAGTTTCAGATTTATCTCCCCTTGAACTTAGAAATTTTCCTCAAAAAGTACTATTTCTTATTGTTTCTTCTTTATTTCGTAAGGGATCAACCTCATACTTCAAATGTATTTACGTTATCATCATCCCCATCTTATGTGACAAGGTTCATAACTCTAGCACCAATATTTTCAGATTTATCTCCCTTTGAACTTAGAATTTTCCATAAAAAATATTTTTTTTACTGTTATTTATTTATTTCTAAAAGGATCAACTTCATACTTCAAATATGTTTACGTTATCATCATCCACATCTTATGTGACAAGGTTCATAACTCTAGCACCAATATTGCAAGAATTATCTCCCCATAAACTTAGATTTTTTACTAGAAAAATGTTATTTTTTATTATAACTTTTTTATTTTTAAAGGTATCTACCTCAAATTTCAAATACTTATTCCTTATCAACAATTACATTTTATGTGACATTTGTTCATAACTCTTGATGCAATTTTTACAGATTAATCTCTCTTTGAAACTTAGGATTTTCTTTAAGAAATATAATAACTTCTTTACTTTTTAAGGTATCTACTTCAAACTTCAAATATATATATTTCTTATCATTACACAAATGTTGTGTGACAAGGTCCATAACTCTAGCATGACTATTTCTAGAATTATTCCCCTTGATCTTGGAGTTTATGTTAACAAATATTATTTTTTTACTTTAACTTAATACATAATTATACATAATTGATTTTTCTTTCATAGTTTTGTTCTCCTTACTGTGTCCAGTATTTTATTAGTCGAGCTTCGCTGTCTCCTGTGACAGCTCTTGTTTTGAATAAAGTCAATAAAGAGATCATTTGACAAGTGTTTTTAACTAGCTCTCACAGAAAGTTGTTTATTAGACCTAAAAATAGACAAAAATAATTTGAGCTGTTTTTCTACCAGCAAAGCTCGAAAGTTGTCATATGACATCAATGGTAATGATACAAGTATAGAAATAGCATCATTATTTAAAAGGAAATAAATAAAGACATTGATACAAATAAGCTTAGAGCTGTTTACATCAGACTAGTGTTAATGATTCGAAAGTAATACGTAAGATTTCGTGAAGGTCACATCGTAAGGGACACCGAGTGTAATATTGTCTTGAGTAATTCTGATTGACAAATCAGCTTCTTTCTTTTCATTTTATCACAATTAGAGTTAATGACACATTTCCACATGATAAGTTACGTTCACAAAAAATAGAACTACAAAAAAATCAAGATTGTTGTTGTTGTAAGATGAAAGCATACGAAGTTCTTATGTATTGATCGTCTATTTAAAAGTGAGATAATTTTCCCTTTTTTCTTGGTATTGATCAGAGATTTCTGTTAAAGTAGTTACATTAATGTCTGTAGATTAACGTCCTTAGTGAAAAGAGTTGAATACAGGCAATCATGTGTAAGATATCCTATTTAAGAAAGACATATTAGTAAAGGACCTGTGTCAAAGCTTACATGTCATTCTCATTTATTTCTTGAATTCTTCGACAGGCATTACTTGGATTGATGATTGCTAAAACAATATTTTCCATATTTTCCTCACAATATTATTTACATGTAGTACAACATTTTCTCATATTTTTCTTACAATGTTATTTTTACATGTAGTACAAAAATTTATCATATTTTTCTCACAACATTAGTTTTACATGGCTCTAGTACAAAATTTATCATATTTTTCTCACAATATTATATTTACATGTAGTACAAAATTTGTCATATTTTTCTCACATTTTGTGTGGTATTAATATTATCATGTATCCATTTATTTTCTGTAATTTCAGACATGTTTTTCACAAATCGTGTGTAGATCCATGGTTGCTTGATCAAAGAAATTGTCCAATGTGCAAGATGGACATTCTGCGAGCATTTGGAATGCATGTAAGTGCTATCCACAAATAGCTGGCAACTTCTCCCCTTTAAACTTCCATTTTGTTGCTGTAATATTGATAGTAAAGTGACAATATGCTTTTATTTTAGCTGTTGTATTAAGCTGATATAGCTCAATCCATTAAAAAATATTCTATAATAATGATGATTGGCATATACATGTAATTGATAAATACAAATGTTTAAATTGCATGAAATATAAAAATTGCCTAAAATATAAAAGAAAGACTGCCCCACTCTTTTTATCAGTTGAATGTTACTAGTGATGGAAATCGGATGAAATTTGTCCCAATCGATCATCGGTTCAATCGGATGGGACATAATCGATAACTTTTCGAATAAAGTCGCGTTAAAAAGAAGAAGGGAAGTAACATTTCTTCCCAAGGCAGTTGATTATATTCAGTAACATGAACTTCATTTAGCACTTTTCAACACAGTTTTAACCTTATATAGTCATAAATTTACGAAATAGATTTAATTTTTAATGGATGTCAAATAATAACATTCACATCACATTATTTTACTATTGTTTTCATCACGTATTGATCCTATTCAACTCCAAATTGTCTCTGAAATGTTTTTTTTTGCGATCGGCGAGGTGTTCATAAAAGAAAATTACCATCAAAATGAATTCCCTTTGATACTTTAAACATTTTCGACGACGTCGCGGAACAAATTTTTGTGAATCGATTACTGTCGCTTTACATAAAAGTAACTGATTATCGGCGACTCGCGACAATCGGAACATCACTAAATGTTACTGATACATTTTTTTTAAAGGATATTTAAAGAAATGCATGTGTGTCACATGCGTTATTTATAATTCATGTGGTTTATAGAAAATATTCCAAATAAAAATTAAAACAGTCATTACAATGTGTAAAGTTATTTTGACTTTTCCTTGTATATTCACCAATTTCTCTTGGATGGGCATAATGTCAATTAAATGAATTAATCTTTTAAGTTGTAATGAATTTATTTGGAAGAATTAATCTTGAAGTTATTATGAATTAATCTTTTAGAATTAAAATTTTATC